TTGCAATAAATAACTGATGCTTCCACATTTGCCATGTGATTCGGCACCTGTGTGCGAACATTCAAACCGGATTAAATGGTGGCGTCAACACTAATGCTAACGCCAACACTAACATCATCACCCACTTTACCCTTTAATCATCTGCGCTCCCTTTCCTAAATCAAGGTGTTGGCCAGACTGAGGCACACACACACACAGAGACACACAGATAACGGCTCCACCTTAACCCTGTCGTAAGATAACAAAAGTGTCACCAAGTCAAACACCATTCGCACACTACATGTCCCACTCTCTCTGTCTAAAGCCACAGATTATCTCGCTGAGGGTTCAGAAGTCATCAAGGGGAAGCCCAGGTAAATGCATTTCTCTGTCATTTCGAACGTGTAAGAGATGCGTTAATTATTTATTCGCCTGCGTTTCCTTCCTTCCCCCCCATCCTCCCCTCCCCTCCCCCTTCCCCCCTTTCCCCTCCCACCACCACCGACCTCACCCCAGTAATGAATGACTAGCTCAACCTTTGAAGAGGCAGCACTCACCACACGTTTACTCAGCTCCCAGCGCTCCTCCTGCTTGGTGGACAAGAGCTGCCGGAAAAGGAGCCATTCGTTGTCCTGGGAGGCTGTTGGGGCAGGGTGGGGGGCTCGGGGGCAGAGGGGTGCAGGGGGGGAAGCGGGTCGGGGGGATGAGGTGGGGGGGGAAATGTGTGGCACTGAGTAACATGAGGTTGGCTGGTCAGAGTCATGAGCTGAGGCTTGTGAGGACGTAAAGAGAGAGGCAATACTACTCATTGCTGTTTGTGTCTGTCTGTGTGTGTGAGTGTCTGTGAAAGAATGAGTGTCTGTGTGTGTGAGTGTCTGTGGGTGTGAGTGAGAGTGTTAGCGGGTGTGTGATTTTTGCACACATTGTGTTTTTGCAAACACAGTGTCTGCATGTATGTGCGCAAGCATGTGTGTGCGTGTGTGAGAGTGTCTGGGCGAGTGTGTGTGTATCTAAGTGTGCGCGAGTATAAGTGGGTGATTGGTAAAGAAAACAAGTTAATAAGGTTAGAGTTTCACCGACAAAGGTACGAGCAGCTGGAAGTGTTAAGATTAACTGGAGGGACTGTGATACTATGGAGGGGAGGTGGTGGTGGGGTTGGGGGTTACTGTGTCTCGAGAACGTCTGCCATTGAAGTGTTGTGGCGGGCCGTGTGGGTGGAGTTGAGTTGAGACTCGGGCACACAGATAGGCCGTGGCAAAGCCCGGGTAACTTGCCGTCAACCGCACCCGCCCAACGGCAAACACCCATGTTTAAGCCCCGGCTGGCACCCGCTGCGTGCTGACTCCCGGCCGGCTTGTGGCGATGACAACAGTAAATACATGTGCTCTTCCCCTTCAATTGTATCGCCTTCAATTTTAAGACAAGGGTGAGGTGTACAGTAGACAAGTCTCTCCAGCGAGAGAGAGAGAGAGACATAAAGACAGAGAGAGAGAGACATAAAGAGAGAGAGACAAAGATACAGAACGAGAGAGAGAGAGAGAGTGAGCATATTCCATTCCAGCAATCTATCTCTGGGATTTCCAGGTTTGGTTGGGATCACTGGGAATCTCAGATGGGTTTGGAGACTCTTAAGCAACGGTGATGGGTTTCCGCGTGTGTCAGACACCCACCCACCCACCCGGCCGACCACAAAACATGAGGACGTCTCAAAGAGCCTGACAATGTTTGGCCGGGGTGGGGAGTGGGGAGGGGAAGGGAAGACGGCTGAGAGAGCGGTGGAAGAGGTACGTTTTGAGACGAGCCTTGAGACAGGAGAGGGAGGGAGGGAGGGAGGGAGGTGGATGGAGTCCATGGCTCGCTAGTGAAGCAGTGGTCAGCTTGCCTTTCACAGAGGCTGAAAAGCAATTAATACTGCAGGTTATTAGAGCCTAATTGACTAAGAGTGAGGTTGGGTTACAGCCTTTGATGTGAGGAGCTATGAATCAGGTCTCATTACAGAGATATCATCTACATTGATACAGTTGCTCAGTTACATCTGCAGCTGGAGGATTGAGTTGCAGTTCGCCAAGGAAACCCTTTTCGCCAAGTGGTGGATTGAATCCAGTCACAAACAGTGGCAAAGCTTGAACAGCACTTTAACTGCCCAGCTTTTTCCAGCAACAATTTGTTGTGGGGTTTTTTTCCGCGGTCGGCCGGGTGGGCGTCTGGCACACGCGGAAACCCATCACCGTTGCTTCAGAGTCTCCGAACCAAACTGGGAATTCCATGCCTTCCCACCCACACGTGGAAATTCCAGAGCTATTTATTGGATGGAATGTGCACTCTCCCTCCCAGGGAGGGACGCCCCCCCCTGCTTATCTAATTCCAAAGGGTATTAGGCACAGGTTGGTAAAAGCCAAGGCTTGGGGGGAGCCCAGAGTGTGTGTTGGGGTAACTGCTGAAGTCTAACCAGCTAAACCCACTGCCCTTGATATCACTGTCTGGCCAAGCTTTCCCGCTGCTGGTTCAGCTAGGACCACCCTCCCCGTTAGTTAGTTAGTTAGTTAAGGCTTTGGCTGTGCGGTTAACAGGAGCTGAGGGGGAAGATTCCCTGCCCCCAGTGACTCGTCGCCTCTTCCAGGTCCTGCCGATGGAAGAGCCGGGCCGGGCCACCAGCAGTGAGTGCCCTGGGACGCTGCGGCCCCTCCTGGCTCAGGCTATTTGACCCGTCTCGTCCAAGTCCTGCAGAAAGCTTTCGTCGAGACATTCCTCCTAAACTCCCCATTGGAGCTGCTCCTGGTGGCAAATACAGCCTTACGTTACTCTGCAGTGAGTGAGCGAGTGGTGGACATTAGGCTAACGGCGCCCCCTGGAGGAACGTTAGTGTTACAGTTACAGTCAGAAACTGAGCACAAAAGCAGTTTGTGGGTTGATTTATTAATAATAATAATAATAATAATAAATAACAGTAATAATAATAATTACTCTGGCTACACGGAGAAAGAATATGGTGAGATTGTCAACCTGGGTGAGTGAGGTGCACTCTGCAGGTTTAAGCACAAGTGGCAAAAGACTCCGGGCTAAAAAATTACTACAATATTAATGATAATAATGCATGGATTTGATCTGGCGCCTTATCACTTTGTCGAAAAGTCTCAAGCCACGGGATTATAGCGACCACAACTTGGGTTTATATTGCACCCCTCACTCAGAGGGCAGCATCTCGGGGGGTCTTTCTGTGTCTGTTAAGAGGAGAGACCTCTCAACGACGTGATAAGGCGCTGTATCAAATGCAAGGATTATTATTAATCACTTTTCTGGGGGTAACGATCCCTTCAAAAATGCCTAAATAAATAATAATTTGTTCACTCAATCCACGGCTGTTTGTGGGGACGCTGCCGGGCGCAATCGGCTGCCGCGTTTCGCGCACAAATTACACAGTCACTACACTTCACAGCATATCCCAAAGAGACGGAGAAAGAAGCAGAGAGAGAAAGAGGGTGGTGGTGGGGGAGAGACAGAGACAGAGAGAGAGAGAGAAGGAAAGAGGATAGAGAGAGAAAAAAAGGGACAGAGAGTGAGGCAGCTACACACAGAACATGCGCTTTTTTTCGATATAAAACTTCAGTTATTAGGAACTTGTCCTAAGTTTCATTATATTGTAAAATATCTGATTGCTGCACTATTTTTTTTGTGAACCAGTTTTTCGCCCACGTGTGTGGCTGTCAAACATGTTTGGGTATGTACATCACTGAGAGTGAGTGGGGGAGAGAGCAGCAGAGAGAGAGACAGAGAGAGAGAGATTAAGAGAGAGTAGAAGGGGATGGAGAGGGAGAAAGAATGGTGACAGAGAGAGGACTGAGAGGGAGAGAAAGGGAGACAGAGAGAAAACTGTGAGAGAGAGAAAAAAACTGGGAAAGAGAGAGAGAGAGACAGAACAAGACAGAGGGGGAGAAAAGGAAAGTACTGAAAAAGAGAAAGTGAAGGAGAGAGGAGAGAGAGATAGAGAGGGAGAGAGATGCAGAGGGAGTGATGCAGAGAGAGAGAGATGCAGAGGGAGTGATGCAGAGGGAGTGATGCTGACTGTACAGCTCTGTAGTGGAAACTGTGCTACTGTGAGCTCAGTGAGAGCCCAACAACCTCTCTATCTCTGTCTCCCCCTCCCTCCCTCCCTCCCTTTCTCCCCCTCCCTCCCTCCCTCCCTCTCTGTGACATGTCACCCAGTGGAAGCCCAGCCCTGAGCTGTCAGTCCTACAGACACAACACTGCACTAAAGCCATAAAACAGCCAACTCCGCTTCTCACCATCACAAACCTCCTCTCAGCCTCCACTGAGCCCCAGATCTCTCCTGAGGAGGAACATCAAACACTGACTGTTATTATTCCCTCTCTCTCTCTCTCTCTCTCTCTGCCTTCCTGCTACCCACCTTTTCTCCATCTATTCCTCCCTCCTCCTCTATCTCTCTCTCTCTCTCTCTCTCTTTCCCCCTCTCCATCCCTCCCTCTCTGGTTCCACAAAAGTCGCTGAAGATGAGCAGTTCAGACAGTGAGCACTAGGAACCTGTCGGCATCAGACACCGTTACAAGGACATCTCTCCTCTCCTCTCCTCACTCAACCAGACAGCAACCAATTAGCGATCAAGTCAACCAACCAACTTACCAACCTACCCAACCAGACAGCCAGACAAGCCACCCACTGAACCAGACACCAGCCAGCCAGCTAACAGTCAACCAAGCTACACAACCAGACAGACAGCTAACCTACCCAACTAACAACTCAACCAACCAGCTACTCACCCCCCCACCCACCCAGCCACCCCCCCACCCAGCCACCCAGCCAACAGATAGCCCACCCTATGAGGAATTGAAGACATTCAACCCATGCTGCCTCGGTTGGCCAGGACATGGCTACAGCAACAGGAGACGGTCCACGTGAACTTCAGGAGAGAATTCTTGCCCAGCAAAGCAGCCGCCTTGACCACCTGCCCAGCCCCAGCCCAGGTGAGCGCCAAGCCTGCCCCTGAAGCCCTCTCCCCCGGGGGCTGCCGTAGGATGTGGAGATGGAGGGGGAGGAGAGGTGATGGCGGTGGTTCCTTGCCCTCGTCCACTTGTTTCCTGCTGTTTTTCCTGACCTGTACTGTGTCCGCCAGCTGCCTGGGTGAGCGGGATGTTGAGGGATTCCCGGTGGACCCTACAAACTGTACTCTCAGCCTTGAGAGACACACTCGCAGTTACAATCACCTTCAGGGCGATGTGAGGTGGCGGAGACTGTATTCAGCCACCAAGTACTTTCTAAAGACCGACAAAAGTGGCAAGGTGAATGGCACCCGGAAAAAAAACTGCCTGAACAGTGAGTAACCTGTATTTCATCTCCTTCCTCCTTTCATTTCCCTTCTCAATACCCAATAATATTAATAATAATCCTTGCATTTGATACAGCGCCTTATCAAGTTGTCCAGGCATCTCAAAGCGCTTCCCAGGACATACGGTAAAGTGAATTGACTGTGTAATTTGTGTGTTCTCACAGAGGGAATTCAAGCGCTCACTTCTCTCTCTCTCTCTCACTCCCAAACAGAGATAAGAAGATCGCGTTTAGATATAATAATAATCCTTGTATCTGATTTAGCTCCTTATCACATCGTCAAAGCACTTCACAGAATGTACTGTAAAGTGGAGTGACTGTGTATATTTTGTGGGCGAAACTCGGCAGCCAATTGCGCACAGCAGCGTCCCCACAAACAGCCGTGGATTGAAGTGACCAAATTGTTATTGTTTTGCAGAGATCTATAGTTTCCGATTTAAACAAAAACACGCACACAGACCCCCCCCCCCCAAAATGTGAGGATTTCAGGATCTCGGCTTCTCTCGCGAATGCTCTCTTTACGGATGTTCTGCTTTTTAAGAGCCCGCGATTCCCATCCGCTCAGCAGGTGTGTGTGCGTGCGGGTGTGTGTGTGTATATGTGTGTGTGTAAACCCCTCTATTCTCTCCTGTGTGTTAAGGATGCTTTCATAACTGTGATTGGGAGATATTGTGGTGGGGTGGGGAGGAGAGGGAGGAGGGGGCGGGGGGGTAAAAACTGCGACATTTCTTAAAACGTGTGCTAATTAGCCCAAATTGCTGGTTTTTTTTAAAACCCGTGTGCTACTTTAGCGCAAATTGCTCGGGGTCTCTTAACGGTTGAGGAGCAGTGTGTGTGAGGAGGAGGGAGATGGAGGGTGGGGGGGGGTGGAGAGAGAGAGAGAGGAAAGCCCTGCAAATTTTGCCCATTCGCAAATGTTTTTCGCGATGTGAGCTCCCAGCGGGGAGGGAGAGGGGAGCGGGGGTTGGGGGGAGCGTGGGATGGGGGTGGGGTGGGGGCAGGAACAGCAAAGCTTTTTATTGCTCCGCACCGATGGCCAATCTCACGGTGCAGATGTCAGTGAGTTAACCCTCTCGTAACCTGGCCAGATTTGTGCTCTTTGCCTCTCTTTGTGCGTAGTGTAAACCTCGCCTGCAAAGCCCCTCGGGTGCTTCACAGGTTACACTGTCAAGTGTAGTGACCGTCCGTGCATTTTGTGGGCGAAAATTGTATCGTAAATGATGGCACTTCAGCGAGCGGACAGTAAAGGTATGGAATTGGGAAGCAGACGGTGGAAGCAGAAACTGTGGTTTGTTTCAAGAACAAATGAGATAGATTTCAGTTAGAAATGAGTAGCTGGGGAGGCAGCGTGTAGTTTGGGGACACGACATGTTAAGTGACTGCCAGGCTGCTGGTGGTGAACTAGACGTACCTTAGTTTTCCTTCGCCAGCAAATTCTTATGTTCTTATAACTTGTGGCTCCTGTAGACTGTGTTGTCAGATCATCAGTGAGGCTGAGCTGAGGCTCCAACACATTCCCAGGTGCGGCTGCTCTCACTGAGTGGAATGCACTTCACATCCGCAGAATGCACTTTCAGAGCTTTCAACTTAATGGCCTTGTAAAGTGGCCAAATGGACACACCACACAGACACACACGCACACACAGATATAGGCACACAGACACACGCACACACACAGATATAGGCACACAGACACACACACACACAGATACAGGCACACAGACACACACACACACAGATACAGGCACACAGACACACACACACACAGATACAGGCACACAGACACACACAACACACAGATACAGGCACACAGACACACACACACACAGATACAGGCACACAGACACACACACACACAGATACAGGCACACAGACACACACACACAGATACAGGCACACAGACACACACGTGCACAGACACACACACACACGCACACAGATACAGGCACACAGACCCACACACACACAGATACAGGCACACAGACCCACACGCACACAGATACAGGTACACAGACACTCACACACAGCGCTTCACAAGGTGGTGATTCACCGGCAATTAGCACATTCTGTCACAGTGACTGACTTCCGTTCTGATGACTCACGGACTGAGATCAGGAATTCCTCACCGCAGAATATTCAGTCTCCGCTGGTCCCAGCCTGGCTCAACCGCTCTCTCACCGCCTCTCTCGCCGCTGAGTCAGGAGGTTGAGGGTTCAAGCCCTCGGGTCAGGACCTTGAACTCACACAGTCTAGGCTGACGCACTGGTGGGGAATTGGTGTTGTCGGAAGTGTCGGCCTTCCTGATGGGATGTTCGACCGAGGTTCTGTCTGTGTCTGCTTAGGTGGACGTTAAAGATCCCACAACCCTGTTAGAAAAGAGAAGGGAGTTTCTCTCTCTCTCTCTCTCTCCTGGTGACTGTTTGTGGGGACGTCGCTGTGCGCAATTGGCTGCCGCGTTTCACCCGCAGAATATACAGTCGCCTCACTCTACAGTATATCCCGTGAAGCGCTTTGAGACGTCTCGAAGATGTGATAAGGGGCTGCGACAAAGTCAAGGATTATTATTATTATAATCCCCCAAATAAATTGTTTGTTGGCTTCATGGCTGTGTGTGGGAGGTCACTCAGTCAACAATCAGGTTGATACTGTGATGGACAGATGAACAGTGGGGGGGGGGGGGGTTGTGGGGGAGGGAGGATGTGATCAATTAGACCGAAGGGACTGGACATTCACCAATTTGCACACAGCAAAGTCCAACAAACAGCCATGAAGCAAACGGACAGTTTATCTGGGGATTGTTGGCCAGGACACCGAGAGAGAGAGAGACCAAGAAACTCCCTTCTCTCTTCCAACAGCGCTGCGGGATCTTTAACGTCCACTTGAACAGACACAGACGTACCTTGTGAGGTGAGGACTCTCCATCCCCCCCATCCCTCACCCCCACCCTCCCACACACAGCCCTCTATCGAGGTGTCAGCTCAAAGTCCGGGACGTGAGACGTGAGCTCCGCAAACTCCTGCCTCAGAGGCGAGAGTGTGAGAGACTGAGCCAGGCTGACATTACTGATCGCTTCATTGAACGCTCTCCTATTTACTGAAGCCGGTGAAATATTGGGAGATAATTTCCCTGAAGACAATGGCCCCTTTGACGGAAGTGTCCAGTTACTGATTGTTGCCCATCTCTGCCGGTCTCAAAGGCACTGTGTTCCTGTGTCACTTGTTACTGAGAGAGAGAGAGACAGAGACAGAGAGAGAGAGACACCGAGAGGGAGACAGAGAGTCAGCACAATGCAATACAGTACGATCTTACCTTGGATTCAATAAATAATAAATAATCCCCGCATTTGATACAGCACCGACCTTACATCTCAAAGCACTCAGTGACCACTGCTGTCAACTGTAGTGACTGTGTACTTCTGTGGGCAGTTTGCGAACAGCCACAGAGAGCCATAAAGTGACTGAGCGGTTTTTATCTGGGAGGGAGGGTTGTTGGCCAGGACGCTGGGGGAGAGAAACTGACTTCACTTTTCGAGGAGCGCAATAGTGGATGTTTAACATTCACTTGGACAGCCCCCCCCCACCACACACACACCTCTGTCCCCCACAACTCCTTCCCCCACCCCACCCCCACACAGACTGGGAGCCATTCTGGACACCCATCAATACACTATTTCACTAGCCATTTGATCAACTGTAAGATACTCAGTGAGGTAATCAATACCACTGTCAAAACGATGCAAAACCGAACCTAGTCAGGACATTGAGCATCTCTGGGGAGGGGCTGTTTACCAGAATTCTCAGCAAGGGATGAAACGGTGGTCGGGAGGAGAGGAAGGGAGGGGTGAGAAGGGGTGGGGAGGGGGGGGGCGCTATTTCGAATGAAACACAAAAGCGAGGGAGGGTTGGGGGAGCTCAGCAGTGAGATTGCGATGTGCTCCATAGCTTCTCACAATCCCCCCCACATCCATCACATAAGAACATAAGGATTTGCTGACGAAATAAGCCCAACATCCATCCAGTTCACCTTCCACCATCCCGGCCATCACTTGATGTGTCATGTCCCAGACTACACACTGTGTTGTGTTGTATAATATTTCCTGACAGAAGCGTCGTGCCCGTGTTGGCTTTGACATCCCGGCATTCCGCAGTGCCAGGACCCTGTGCCCAACCGCCGCGCCCCCTCCCCATCACCCACCCGCCCGGAATGTCTCGCCGAAACGCTGATGCCTTTCCCTCTGGGAGCGCGGTATCCATTACCCCCGATGAGAGGTAATTTGAACTCGAGTATCCGAGGGTTTTACATTGTTAATGCTGTCCTGTCCCGCGGGGGATTGTAATGAGGTCCGAGGTTCTGCCCACTCTGAGCTCCTCACTCACTCCGCAAATTACCATCAGGCAAACATCAATATCTGCTGAGCTCAAGTTCCACCCGGTCTCAGCCCCCAGACCATTCCCTTCTTCAAATTTAAGTAAATTTGTCCTTAAGTCGGTCATTCGCCTCTCGGTCATCAAGGTTGTGGGTTTAATAATCATAATAATAATAATAATCATAATCCTTGCATTTGATAACAGCGCCTGCAAAATACACAGTCACTACACTTCACAGTAGAGGCGCCTATTAAGTGCTTTGGGACAGTGGTCCTCATGACGTGAAAAGGGGTCAAATACAAGGATTGTTGTTGTTGTTGTCAGTTTGGACGAGACATTAAACCGAGGCTGTCTACGTGGATTCATAAGCCTTAAACCAGGTGGAATTTAAGACCTTCTGCTTCGACTGTGTGTAAGAGTTGAATGTGACGGGGCGAGAGGTGGGGGGGGGGAGGGCGTGCGTGAGGGTAGGGGGGTGCGCGGAGGTTTGGGGGGAAGGGGAAATGGTGGGGGGGGACCGGGAAGTGGGGGAGGGAAGGAAAGCAATCCAATGGCACTAATACTCTCCTTCAGGATGTAACAACATCCGATCTGATCAGGAAGAGCGAGCACTCGAGCCGG